ACCTGGGAAAGGTCATAAGGTCACCTTTAACTACCTGAGGTCCATCATTCTGCACAAAGGAAACATTTCAGCTGATGCTCATATTCCAACAGTGATTTTTATTTCCATTTTATTTATTGTTTTGGTTTTTGTGTTTTATTTTGCATATTTAAAATGTCTTGCAGTTACAGTTGGTCGATCAGATGAAAATGTAATCATGATATTTGTTTGGTACATGAAACAATATACACAAATACTTCAGTCATTTTAAACTGCATGGCATTTAAAATGGTTCTGGTGCGGAAAAATAAATTTAAATATTTTACTTTAACCATAAGTTGCACACAAATGTTTTTCACTAATGAAGTTACTACCACTGACTCAATCTGTGATCAACAAGCAGTAAAAAACCCACCAAGCCAGAATCCACCAGGAAACATGAAGCCAGCTGAAGCTAAAAGGTGTTTTCATCATAAAAATTATAAAAACCCTGATGAGTCCAGATTACAAAAATAAAAGTTTAAATAGTGACTATAAAATCAACAGACCCAAAGCAGTCACAGAAAACAGATGGCCTAATCAAAGTCCTGATAGAACTGCTGTGGTGGGAATGAGCAGAAACCTTAACAAACTGAATAAATGTTGAAAAAGACCAGAACTCCTCCACAGCGAAGTGGGAGACGGGGTGTACTTACTTACCAGCCGTAGCTCTGTGTTTACGGGAAACGTCTCGGCCTGAAGACGCAGTCGGACCCGGTTTAATGGAGGTAACCGGTGCAGAACAGCAGCTTGGTAATTGAGTCCCTCTGGGGCTCCTGTAGGTGGGCTGGAGCCGCTCTGGGACCAGAAGGTGTCGGGATAAAAGCCTCCATTACGGTCCGCCGTTCTGGAGCGGCGGCGGCTCCGCCTCGCCTCGGGCTCGGCTCGGCTCTAACGCGATTACCAGGCGGCTTGATGAATCGTCTGTCAGAGGAAGTTAAAAGGCGCATTAGATGTTGGGACTCTCAGGCACTTAACCTGATTAGGTCCAACGGGTCTGTGTGGCAGAACGCGGCAGGAAACGGGCCAAAGATCGACACTTTCAGCTCCAAACTTTATTTGGCGAAAACAAAGGAGAGAAACATCTGAAGGATCCAGACAAAGAAAGCAGCAGATCGTCGGTTCAGGTCTCCAGACAACAACATCGCTGATCTGCCGTTTCTGTTTGTTCACAGCCTCATGTGGGCTCTGCTGTCCGAGGAGACAAAGGTCAGAGGTCAAACCAGAAAGAAAACTCCTCCTGACCTCCTGCTCAAAGGATTCTGCTGCCGTCGGATGAAACTTGTGTCTTCCTTCCACAGCGATCAGCATCAGGAGTCCTGGTCTTAGTCCATCCCTCCCACCAGGATCCAACCGTCTGCCGGGTTCAACCACTCTGACCGGCGAGGTCATCAGATCGCCAACGGCTCCTGGAGTCGACCTTTAGGCTTACATCCACCCACACCAATGTTAGCCATTAGATAATCTGAATAAGACTGATCCATAACCGAGGAACTGAAACCAAGCAACGGTTCTTAGGAGAGGAAGATCTGCTGAAGGGATCAGAGGATTCTTCACCTCAACAATGCAAAGCATCGGACTCATTACTGGAGTCTAGATCGATTTATTCTCCATCTAAGAGCTATTCAATGCATGTTCGCAGTTTCCATCTCCAGAAAATTAGCTTCCTGTTGGAGAGTTACTGCATGAACAACGTCTTCAAGCTGCAACAAGTTATTTAACTCTAACTGATGCAACAAGCAGCTCCTCGTTTCTTAAAGACACGTCCTGTGGTCGTGGAAAAGATGTTAGTCTGCTTAAGAAGGGTCAGATTATTGCCATCAAGCAGAGAAAACATGAAGGAGATGCAGAAATGACTAAAGTATGGTTGAGAACTGTCCAACGTGTTATTAAAAACAGGAAGCATGAAGAGGAACCGTCATCTCTGAGGAAGAAATGAATGACTGTGACATCAAACTGAAGAAGAACAACAGTAGAAGTCCTGGTTGTGTTTAACAGTGAAAGTAAGAGCCTTTCCAATGTGAGAGGAACTGAAGGGTTTGGGACTGAACAGCTGTAGCCATAAGAAAACCACAGATCAGTGAGGCTGACCAGACAAAAAGGCCTTTCAGTCGGCAAGGCAGGATAAAGACGGGAGAGACGGATGGAGGTCATGTGATCTGATGAGTCCAGATTCACCCTCTTCCAGAGTGACGGACGCTTCAGGGTAAGAAGAGAGGCAGGTGAAGTGATGCACCCATCATGCCTGGTGTCTGCTGTATCAGTCTGTGGGGACAGGTCAAAGTTCAGTAGCATCCTGAGGTCAGGTGACTACCTGGAGACACTGAATGACGAGATTATTCCTTCAGAGGATCGTTTCTTCGCTGATGACACATTGATATTCCAAGATAACAACACAAGGATTCATCGGACTCAGATTGTGAAAGAGTGGGTCAGGAGGCCACAGAGTCCGGACCTGAACCCCACGGAGGACCTTTGGGGTGTTCTGGAGACTTTGATCAGTGGCCGGACACATCACCAAATCTTCTTTGCCACAGCAAATGTTTGCCATGATGGAGGTTTAAGGAGTTCCAGCAAAATATTAGAGTGTTATCTTTTTCTTTTGGTGGGAACTTTCTTTTTGGCCAGGCAGCATCTAGCTGCTTTCTTGCCTGAGGTCCTCTGTCCGATAGATGGTTGGATCTCTGAAACCTCCTGTAAAAGCCATAAAGGGTTTAAACTGAAGGGATAAATCCTTGAATCAGACTCAGAGTTTGATCTCGTGACTTTATAGATACCTAAAACACCAAAGATGAAGCAGCAGAAACAGAAACTGGCTGGTTCCCAGAGAGGAAACCTGCACCAGTGCTCCTTCAGCCTGAGATCGTCCTGGGGGGGGTCGGCGGTTCTGATGGGGTCATGGACCTCACTCAACAGACAGCAGAGCGGGTCAGCACTCGGTTCAGGTGAGAGGAAGAAAAACAAGCAGCGCTGCAGTTTGTGGAGCGTCGTGGCAGCAGCTCTGCTGACACATGCGGCCTCTGAAAGGCCCAGAGATGCTCTGGAGGGGTCAACGGCGCGCTGCCTCAATGCATTCCTTCCTTCCCCCTGAGCTTCTGTCTTTCTCTCGTTTCTTTTCTTCTGCTGCGGCGGGGTGAGGAGGGCGCTGCTGGAGCTTGAGAAAATAAAAACTTCTCAAAGACGGGGAGAGAGGAGGGAGGGCTCAAGGTAAAATGTTTCACCGTGGGCCAGCCTGTCACTCAGCGTGATTAATGGGCCGCTCGGGGAGAACCGGCGCGTTCCGAATGAGAAATATGACTTCTAGCTGCTAATTTGATTAGCATCGAGCCGCTACTGAGACGTTCTCTTCTGCAGCCACATTCGTTTACCGCTGAGAAAGTTTGAATCAGAAGGAAGCTTCAGTCTGAGTTTTGATTGACGTCCCGTCAGCGCCAAAAGGTCCAGACAGGAGTGGAGGGGAGCGGGTCCCCCACGGCCGGCCCTTCAACACCAGCTGGGCTCCTGCAGCTGTCAATCACTGGGACAATGCCCAGCAGGGGGCCGGTCCACCAAGCCTCGCTCCGCAACACCGCAGCCTGACAAAGCATCACTTCCTGCTGTATTAAACCACAGGTTTCATGTGAAAGCTGGACCAGCTGGCTGAACAAACGCTGCAGGAGAAACTACAACCACCAGGGGGCACTGGAGAGAAACTATTAATCAGATTCATTTGGTCTCAGTTTGAAAGCAAAACTCTGAAAAACAAGGAATCCAGGAGAAACATCTGAACTCCATTCACAAAATGATACAACTCTGGATAATTCTTAGAGTTCATTCCCACCAGACCTGTTTAGTTCACTTTAATCAAACTCCAGTCTGTTTGCCTATACAGTTTGATTTGTTTGGGGAGGTGTGAATGAGTAACTGACCAAAACAACAAGCAAACCTCAGTCTGGGTTTGGTTGAAGTGAACTCTGGTGCTGTTTGAATGAACATATGAACACCAAGCGGACCGGACCGCTCCAAAAGCAGGAAATGGACTACAGTGCAAGGCATTCTGGGTAAATACAACAAAAACAAACGTGTGAGTCTGGCTCCAGCAGGACAAATGACTCATGATTTTTAGCCAAAGACTAAAGAGAAATCCTCCAGCCGCTAAAATCTGACGCCTCCATCTTGTTTCCATCTGGTGAAGAAGGAAGTTGCTCTCAGTGTCTTCAGAGGTTTTTGGGTTCTTGGTGCAGCGCCCCCACAGGCCGGGAGGGGAACAGGCTGGTTTGACTCAGAGCCACAGCAGCTGCAGGTGGAGCAGATGATGGAGTTCTGGTTCCACCTGTGGCGAACTCCAAACTTTAGAAACACCAGAAATTCTGGTTTCAATGAAGTTAATCAGGATTTTATGTGACAGACAAAAATCCAGGAGGATCCTGTGTGACCTCTTGTGAAAACGGCTCAGAACCGTTTTCATCATCTCCCTTCACATTCTGACGATTTTTCTCACAATAGAGTCTGGAGGAATCTCCCCCCACAGAGGGTGAAACAGCCATAAACATGTTTTTAAGGCGCACTCCTTTAGAGACATCAGACTTAATTCAGCAGCAAATTAGAGGGAAAATTCAGAACAAAGGTGACAACATGTTGTCTCTCTTTTCTCTGTGCAGCGGTTTGACCCGACTGGAGGATCTGCTCTGACACCGTGAAGAGAAAAGTGATTAAAGCTGAATGCAACTGATCAAAGCTTCCCAGAAATAACAAGAACATGAGTCTGGCACATAAAAGCAGGAGGAGAGGCATCAGCAGACATCCTGGAATAAAGAGGCAAACCCACGCCTGACTGCGCTCCACTGCTGCTCAACACAAACACACTCAGCCGCTGCCCTGAAAGACACGAACAAGTGTGGCGGCGACGCCTTGCACGCCTGGCTGCGGCGGCTCAACGCGCCAAACGCCCACAGAGGAGGTGAGCCGGGGATCACGGAGAACCAGGAGGCTTAGGAAGACAAACTCACGCAGGACAAGTGGTGATTATCAGCGTTTGTGTCTCCAGGCTCCACCCGGCCGTCTCCAGGGAGATTTGTGTCCACACGTCGAGGTCTGCATGACTTTTCGGGTGTTTGTGGAGCCTGGAAGGTCTCAGGTGATGTTTGTCCGTTCCCTGGTGGAGGTAAAGGTTTTTTTTGGTTTTTTTGCTCTGCTGTTAGCGGATCTGAGCGCTGAACCGTGGAGCAGCAGAGTAATTGTCTCTTTCCTCCGTAACAGGATTAGGAGCCCAGCGGTGTGGCGGGTTCAGGCCTCCGGTCAGCCGGGGTCAGCGGCTCCTGCTGCTCAGCTTCTAGACCTGGAGGGTCCAGGAAGGAGAAAACCTGGAAAACAAACACAACGTCCACAGGCAGAATCAAGGAGAGCAAAATTACTCAGAAACTCAGAGTTTGGTTCCATCGGTGCTGCTGGTTCAAGCTGGAGGACGTCTGCTCCTGGTCTTATGTTTGAAAGCTTCACCTCGACTCAACCAATCAAAACTAACTCTGCCATAAACAGTTTATCCATCAGAATGATGCTACAAGCTAACTAACGCCTTCATCTCAATGATGTCAAGGCTCAACCATGTAAAAGCTGCAGACCAGACTTTAACTTCAGGTAATTAATTATGCATTAAACTTTGTAACACAACTAAACACTTTTTTTTTTACATACAAAAGTTCCAACTGGAACCTTTGCATTCACGTATTTCTGGTTCGTCAGTAATTCTGACGCACAAAGGCCATCCGCTAACACGAATATTTCCACTGTTTTCTTTACATTTATAACATTTTAACATTTCCACATGTATCTACTCCAAACCAGATCAATTTAAAGCAAAGTGCTGGAAGAGGAGGAACCGTCATCACAGGTTTCAGTTGCACAAACCTAATGATCCAGTTTGGAGTTAATCCTGCATACGTGTGAACACTCTCACTAATCTAATCTGGTTCAGCTTAATGAGACTTTAGTCCAGAATGTAAATGTCTCTGAGCTGCTTCTGTAAATGTTGACCTGGTCATCATTCGGACTGGTGGAGGGAGGCGGGTTTAATGCTTACAGCTTATTTATTTTCTCATTAGCATCAGGATTAGATGTGTGTGTTATCAGTGGCAGAGCTGATAGCAGTAATGGAGGCCTGCTGTCTGTACGGGGCTGCAGATTAAACCCACTGGTTTAGGTTGAACCGGTGGTGAAGCAGAACCACACCAACTGGACCCGGATCAGTTCCTCAGAGGTTCTCCAGAAGGAACCAGGAGAAAACCCAAATACTGAGCTATGAAAAGACGGTCGGAGCTCAAACTTTAATGGATTTTACTCAAATTTAATGTGAAAAACCAAAACAAAGCCGTGCATAATAGAAGTAACTTTGCTGCTAAGTTACCGGATAAATAGACATGTGAGCTGAACAACAGAGATATTTACAGTTTTTAATCTGTTATTCAACCATCAGATTGGAACAAAGTGTTGTTCTCCATTAAGCTGTCCAGAGTTTCTTTAGAAATGTGACTGTGGACGCTGACATTAGCATTAGCTGCTACATTTTTAGCATTGAGATGCTACTTTAGGCTTGAATAGTTTCACTGATAGGCTAACTGCTGTTAGCGGATGTTGGTTGTGCATCAGATTTACAGCTGTACCAGAAACACATGAACACAAAGGTTCCACTCTGAACTTTTGTATGTAAAAAAATCTGACATTAATTGCATGAAACATTTTAACACGTTAAATTGTCTGTAGTGAAAGTAAATGTTTATATTTCCAAATACAAACATGAGAGGTTTGGTGTGTGTTTGTGTCATGATGCTGCCACTTCCACTTGTTCTGTTTTTAATGAAATCCCAAAGCTTTGCAGGTTTCTCATGACTGCAGAGTTCCTGCAGGCCTCCTGGTGGGTCATGTGATGGTTCTGGTTCCAGGTTCTGGTTCCAGGCTGTGGTTCCAGGTTCTGGTTCCAGGTTCTGGTTCCAGGTTCTGGTTCCAGGTTCTGGTTCCAGACAGACCACATGTAATCAGAAGTTTCAGGAAAAGCCGGAGGATCCCTGCAGAGTTTGGTTTTTACCTGATGAGCTGTGAGGCTGATCTGTTTCTCCTCATCGTTCTTCGCCGCCATGTTGTCGTTTCAGCATCTGCAGGTTTTCTGTAGTATTTGTGTCCAAACATCAGGTTGGAGCTGATCTGAAGGATTTCCTCGTCACGGCTGAAGAATGTGAGCGATCTCTGAAATAAACGCTGCAGATCTGTTACTGCCTGCTAGCAGCTGCAGCCGCATAACTTGACCTGTTTTGTAAACAGAAATGTTTCTGAATGTCAAACATGAACCACAAACATGAGCTCAGGCATCTTTCAGTTGCCTTAAACTCAAACAAACACACAGATACACGTCTGCGTCTCTTCATTTTAACTTAGAGATTTTATCTCTAAGTATTGCAAACTTTGTAAATGATTCCCTTCCTTTGTGTTGGAGCTTGTTGAGCAAGGATTAAATTCTGACACATAAACATCAGGAATGTTTTAGGATCCATGGATCAGGACGGAGCAGAAACCATCCCAGTCTGACCAGTTCTACGGCCCGTTATACTGGTTCTACGCTGGTACTGCTCGTCTGTCATTTTATCGTTTTCCTTCCATTTTTATTGAAGAAATCATAAAATGAAACATTTATGATTTATCCCAACAGATCTTTCAGTTTCTTCACATCATGCAAAGTTAATCTGAATAAATAAAAAACATCTTTTAAATGGAAATGTTCTTAATTACTAGACAAAAGTAACATCTGAATAGATTTTAAAAAAAGCTTTCTAAGAGTGGCCTAGTCAAAGTCTGGACATAAATCCAGTAAAGGTGATCTGGCATAACTTTAAACAACTGTTGTTGAAAAACTCTGAATAGGAAGTGACTCCTGATGATGCTCAGTCGTTCTACTGGTTTCACTGGTGATTTATTTAGTGTTTTTTTCATCCATCTCATCTCAAACATCCGTCACCAAACGTCTCCTTGCTGCTCTTCCTCTGCTCACCTGTACAGGATGTCAGTGACATATAACAGTCACACGGAGCAGAGAGGTCCTGGTGAAATGTCGGAGCTGATTCACCAAACGGGTCGGGTTCTGTGAGGTCGTGACCTCATCACCACGCCGCTCCGGAGCGATCCGTCTGTCATCGCAGAGGAAAGTCGTGCTGGAATGATCCCGTATTGATGCCTACATTGTGCAGGCCCTGAGCCGGTTCCCTCCTCGGCGGAGGAGGGAACCAACCTGTCTGTGTTGGTTTTGGACGTTTCTGAGCCACAGAAATCTGAAAATCACTGTCAAAACAGACACCTACACCTGGGATTGTTTCCTAATGAGCCTCGGTTACAGCTTGTTGCCGTCACGCCCTGCAGGCCCATGTGGCTCTGCTCCAGCTCCACCAGCATTCCCAGTTCCACACCAGCTGTGGTTTACTGGGAAACATCACAGAGGCTCAAAATGTAGAAGTCGGAGCTGAAATGTGAACAAATTTGTTTGCTTCACTGCATATTGTGGTTTTCTTAAATCCTGGAGTGTTTTGTATGACAGAGTATTAGGACTACGCTAAAAAGGTTTAAAAAATAAAATTACAAGAATAAAGTCATATTACTTTATTGTTGTAATACTGACTTTAATTTCAGAATATTATGGCTCGTATTATTATGATTTTATTCTCGTAACGTCGCAGCAGAGTTCGTTTCAGACGTGAATTTAGTGATGAAATGTGATATAAAAGCTCAGCAACACAAATTATTGTATGTTTACAGAGAGAAATGAGCTAACATCAGTTTCACTGATCACAGAATAGGTCACAGTTCAGTTTTTGAGAAAAACTTGATGAAAGTGAGGGAGTTGAGCCCCCAGCCCCCCACGGTGCGCCGCCGCCCCTCCAGCTCCTGACATCTTTATTTATCTGTGGGATTAAAGCCCAGTTCTCCAGGAAACACCTCCGTCCGGGCTTAAAGGTTCAAGGCGACTCTCTCTGCTCACCCCAGGGTGCGTTCTAGCCGTCAGCACTCGGGCGAGATGCAATTAGTGTCGGGGTCAGAGGTCACGGCAGGATTTAAGCCTGAGACCTGCTGGTCAGTCAACAGACCTGGGATCAAATCCCCGAGGAGTCCGGGGACAGAAGTCCGCCGCTGACAGATCAGCGCCGACACAAACATGCGTCCGCAGATCTGATGTGGCGACAAAAAGCTTTCAGAGCGAAAAGAGGGAAGCAGAAACGACACGGAGGATTCTGACGGTTTCTGAGACGAATCGCCTCAGAAACCGTACAGCTGCTTCTTCCTGCTTTATGCTGAACTCATCTTCCAGTCAGACATCAAACTTTACTGTGAAGCTAAAAAACGACTTTCTGCACAGATTTCAGGGTTGAGGAAGAGGAGGGAACAACTGCTGGACTCAATGGCCTGCAGTCCTAATCCAAGGTTCGGTTCTGATGGAACGTCCCACATGTTCCCACGTTTCCAACCAGCTGTTGGAAAACCTCCAAAGAAACATTCAAACTGCATATTTCAACAGTTCAGACACCAAATAAACCTTAACATGATGTAACACGTCCAGCGGAAACCGTCTTAGTGCTTCCACAGAAACTAGCATCAGCAGGTCAGCCAATCAGAGCCGAGGAAAAATGGCTCCTGGAAACCCTGACCAACAGCGTAGCGAGCAGCAGTAGCATTGTTGCTAAGTATTTTAGTTTTTCAAACTGAATTTTCTTTGGAAAATCTGGGGGGGAAATCTGGAAAAAGGCTAATTTAGATTTATTAGACTTTTATTCTAGATCCAGTAGTTTCTATAAAACAAACAAAAAATTACAAACACAGCAGCAAAACAAGCAACTAGAGATTTGACTCAATTAAATAAGCTAATAAAACGAGTTAAAAACAAAATCGTTTCATGAGATTTGAATTGTTAAAGTGAATCAAAGCTCCAGATCCTGTTTCAACTTTCTGAGCTTTTTGCATGTTTCTAATAATCCCTGGAAATGTTATTCACTGCTTTATTTTGGTTTCTAGAGAAAAACTGCAGTTTCTGGGAATCTGATGAACACCGTTTGGTGAAACAGCTGCCAGCCATTCAGCATCGAGGTTCTGGGTTCACATCCCGTCCTTTAGGTCTTTATGAATGGACATTATTTGTTCTTGGTATTTTGGCTCCTCAGTCCAGAAACAGCCTGTTAGTTTGGTTGTTCTCTCTGGATTGTCCTCAGTGTGTGAGGTGGTTCTCTGTCTCCTGCCTCTGGTTCCTCTCTGCCTTTAGAAGAAATGATCGTCGTTAATCTCTGGTGTCATTTTTTTCCAGATTCTATAAACTCTGTGTTAATCTGCCTCAGGCTCGATGAAGATAAAGGTATTGTTTAATATCTGCAGCCGC